AACCAGCGTGTTGACTAATATTAACGCGATACCCACTCGATACGATTTTAATCGGTGCCTTTAATCAAGGAAATGCTTTCGGTTTGCGTTGACGTGGTCAAGTTGTGTAACCACCTGCTCGATCAACCACTGCTCTCTCTGGTCTCTCCCCCCCGGTGTCTGCTTCTCCGTTCCTCTCTACGTTCTTGGATTCCGTTGGTTTCTCGGGCTCGTAGCCGAGGTAACCACACAACCCTCCACCCTTTTCCGGCTAGGACCTACCCTTACGCTTGGAGGAGCCGTAATTACTTCCGTTTCGCCTTCGACATTAAATAAAACACTTCGCGTCGCTTAATCGGCTGCTCCGGCATGAACGCGTCGAAATCGGCTTTCGCATCGCGTATTCAATTCGACTCCGCTGATCCTTTCAACCCGTGACGACAACGCTACCGGATTATTGCGTCGTCGACCGGTTCGTTTCCGCCGCGACTCCTTTCGTGGCTTCCCGTTCAAGCGAAACCTTCGCGGTTGCGCCTCGGACAAAACGGCTAATTGGCTATTTCTCCACTTTGTGGTCGTGCGTTTTCGTGACTCGCTCAGAGTGTTCCTACGGTCTCCCCATTGTACTAACCGAGTGCTGCTTGCTAGCCTCTGGCTAACAATCTCTTGACACTCTCCAACAACGTTCCCGCGTAGTTTAACGTCTAGACTTGAGACTTTGATACGTGTAAGGAAAAAAAGGGTTCCATTGAATAGATCGTGTGTGTTGGTAGGGGTCTAATAGGGTGCACTTGAAAAAGGTGCGACTGGTTGCACCTATTGTTGACACATTACTTTATAACGCCGAGCAAAGTAAAGGTAGCATTTGTTGAATGTCAACAGAAAGTGGTAGTCAAAGGAACTGAATGACTTCAATTAAAATATATTTTATGCGAATAGTGTGTAACAAGCATTGGTTTTCGACAAATTTCATGTACGCTTCGGAATTTCAAGTATAAATACGGTGAAACAGTACAAGCGTTCGCTCGACTGAGCGGGTTCTCTTCTAAACGGAAAGAATTCCATTCTGTAGACAGTTGAAACAGTCGTACCGACGTCTCGCGCCACAAACGTCAACGCTTACTCTCCCGGTTTTCCGTCCTCCAGGGAGAAACGGGACGGCCGTTAATTTCTCTGCGCTGTTCGCGCTGACGAGACTCCCGTTCTCGTATCTTCTGGCGAAGTTTTTTCTCGTTAGACGCCGTCCGCGACGTCATCGGGTGGCCGGGGTGACTAGAGCCGGGCAACTTGCAAATTACTGGAACGCGAGCCGCATCGACCTGGCCGGGATCTCGGCTACGAGCGGAGTTTTCCGATCGTAATCTTTTAATTACATCAGACTAGAGGGAGAGAAAGGAAAACGCGAAAAAGCGTAGCTCGGATCCAGAAAGGCGTTGGCCAAGGGGAAACAGTCCGGAGTAACGTAAAGGGCGGAAGGACACTGTTCCCTTGGCTCGCGCTCTCCTCGTCCCGTCTAATGGAAACCGTGACTGCTCTGCAAAGACGCGATGCTATCGTCGTTAGCAATCTAAAGTAGACACGATCAAGGGAAAAGAACAAGGAGGAGCGAACCTCGCTTTAATTAATTTGCGTCGTCTGACCTCGAACCGGGGCTGCAACCTATGTTCCTAGCAAGAAAGCGAGAAACTCGCGTTATTTCCATGTTGCGAATTGTTTGGCAAGCGACTTTGGCACGCTGCTAGG